CGCCTGGATGCGCCCGGGTGCCCCGTGCTCTGGGTGTCCCTGCTGGAGCAGGGGCTGCCCGGGGGCATCCTGAGAGGGCCCTGCCAACCCCAACCATTCTGTGAGTCTGTGATTCTGTGTCTCTATAATTACCAGGAGAAACTGGCTCTTCTAGGGCATGAATCACCCTAAAATAAACATTTCTTGTTCGGACAGAAGTGTCCCTTGTCTCTCCTGACCTTGTCTCAGGTGACTTGCCCCAAAACAGACATTTTGCACCGGGTGGGAGGAAACCTGCCCTAAGCCCTGGAAGAAATTCAGATCAGGAAACTTGTTTCTGTGGGTGCTGAACCAGGGTGTGGAGGGGCTGAAAGGAGGAACGTGCTGTGCGTAGGTGGCCCGTCCAGGGCTCTGCGGTGTCAGGTCTCAGGTCTCTCGGCTCACATGTCCCCAGTGTCCTTGCTGCCGTGTGGTGCCCAGCTGTCCTGCCGTGGGATGGATCTGCAGGATCCGTGTGCGGAACGGGCAGCGCTGGAGGTTGCTCCCGGGGCTTCTTCGAGCACCTCTGGCCATCGCAGAGTGCAAGGAAGACAACACTTGGAATCCAAATCTCTGTCTGGAGAAATCCTGGCTGCACCAAAGCCTGGAGCAGGGGTCAGGGGACCTGTGCTGGGGCTGTCTCCCCTTTTCCTGGGGACATCCTGCTATTGAGCTAAGCCCTGGCTGATGCTAACTTGTTTTCCCAGTGTAATTCCAAGCTTGCTTAGCGCCTGCGGTGCTGAGAAACCCTCACTTTGCCTGTGTTTCCTTGCAGAGGTCATTTTTAATCCTGGCTCTCAAGAACCCCCGGGGCCAGTAAGAACTGTGAGTTGAGCTGCAGTTTTAAGTGTCTGCTCCCAAACTTCCCTTCTCCGGGCTTCCCTCTCGGATGAGTTCTAACAAACTCACTGGTTTTGCCACTCGCAAAGGTGAAACCTGCTCCGAAGGGAGCTCCAAAGGTAGCAGTTTTCCCAGCGTGATGGTTTTTGTTCCCTTTCTCACCCTGCCACCAAGAATGTCACGAATGAGGCCGCTATCAACCCGCACGGGTGCTGCTGGTCACCTTCTCCCTCTTTCCTCAGGCTGTTCTCCGGGAAGGACATCCAGCCACTGCACGCAGGGACGCGTGTGCCCCCTTTCCTGAGCTGCAGCATCTCAGTTTGGCCTTCAACAAGGTGATTGGAGCCCTCTGCTCTAGTGGAGCTCCAGCCCGAGCTGCCCAAACGAGGCCTTCGTGCTCTGGAGAGCTCCTCAGCGCCAAGTCCAGCTGTCCCTGCAGAGAGGGTCAGGTCTCCTCCGGCCCCGGGTCCCTCTGCCAGCCCATGGGGGTGTCTCAGACATCCAAGGTCTTTCAGCCAGGGCAAGACTCCTGTTTAGGCAGCTGAATTGCCTAAGGGTGTCTCAATCCCTGCACATGAGGGATTTCCGCAGTGCAGGAGAGAAGGGAACACGGGCTCTGCCCTGTCCCTGCGGAGCTGCTGGATGTCTGTGCCCAGCGGTGCCACCTCCTGCTCCTTGGCTCCCAGGAGAGGGTGTCCAACCCGGCCACAGCAGGGATGGGGCAGCGCAGCTGAGCCCCACAGGGCTGTGGGGATGGTGGGACAGCGTCTTGGGGGTCCGGACACCCTTGCAGGTCCTCGGAGGTCATCGCTAGGGATCCCAGGCCACCTTGTCCCTGTTGGGATGAAGCTCTGCAGCCACCAAGGGGCCTGAGCAGCGGCTGCTCCGAGCAAACGGGCCGTGATTCTGTCTTGCAGATTGAGGAGGAGGCAGATCTCCTGCCTGTGGCTTTCTTCCCGTGTCTGGAGGAGCTGACGTTCCACGGAAACCCTCTTGCCACCACGACGAGCGGTAGGGAATGAGCCTGGCTCCATGCCTGGCTCCTCTCCACCCTCCTGCTCCGTCCCGCTAACATTCCCGGCTCTTTGCTGTTAACATTCGGATGCTCCCACCATGCTGGCCCAAGCCCAGGGCCCCGGGGAGCCTGGGCACTCTCAAAGATGCTGTAGATGAATCCTGCTCTTCCAAACGCTGCTAATGCCCTGCTCCTGTTCCCATCAAAGCCTGGGAAAAGGGGCTGCAGGCTCAGGCTGAATTTTGCTCCCTGAATGGTGCTTATCCCCAAAAAGGGCCGGTCTGGGACAAATCCCAAACGTGCCCATGGCCTCAAGAAGCAGCAGATGAGATAACGAGGGCTGTGGTCAAAACAAATAGTGTGTTTGTGCTCCTCCCTGCATAGGTAAGCTGCAAATAAACCAGGCCAGGGCTTCTTCTCTGGCCTTGAAGGCAAGTAGCCCAATCTGCCTTGTGTCCCTAGCAATAAGGGACCCATTTTTGTCCTCCCAAAACTGGGTGGCTTCTTCTACTCCGCCTGCTAGGAACAGCCCCTGGTTCCTGTCCGCGAGGTTCTGGGGACCCTCGTCCCCGTCCCGGGGAGCGCGGGTGCTCACCACGAGCACAGGGCTGCGCGGTGCACGTGAACCCCTGCTTTTCCAGGGCAGCCTCCCCTGCTGACCAGGCTCCTCCAGGAAAATTTGGGGATTAAACTTGTTCGCCGGAGCGTGGTGGTGGAGAGGCTGCACCTCGCCATTCCTCTCAAGGCCAGCCGCAAGGTAAGGACGGGTGTGAAGGAGGCACCTCGCTCAGGGCGGCGCTTTCCCTGGCCCAAGCAGGGGCAAAAATCCCTGGCTGCGCATTCAGGCTGGGATTTGGGGATGCACAAAGAGCCTGAAGTGCCCTAGATCCCAACGGGATTGCTAGGATGAGAGGAAGGAAGGATGGGAGAGGGTTGGAGGCCTTTGGCGTTTTGCTCAGGGTGAGGCCAGGGAATCCATCCCCTCCAACCTGCTCTCTTGGCCCAAGGACCCACAAGACAGAGGGTCTTTGGGCTCGATCCTGCACACTTGAGGTGCTCCTGTGAGCCAGGGTGTCCCTGGAGCTGGGGCTGCCGTGATGCTCCGGTAAGGAATAACCTCCGTGCACCGGCTTGGACCCCGTGCCGATACTCGCAGCGGAGCCCGAGCATCACCAGGGTGGCAGGTTTGGGGGCTGGAAACGACCTGCCTGCAGCCAGGCCGACGGCTTTGCTTGTCCCCCCGTTGGTGCAGAACGAGCCCCGTCCTCCCTTGTGCCCCTACCAGGTTTCATCCCGTCTCCCGAAGGTCCCAAAGGCGCCGCTGATGCTGGAAGCTCCTGCCGGGACCTTTCCATGGCAACTCGGGAGAGGAGCCGGAGCCCGGAGTCCATCCAAGCCTCTGCCTCCGATCAGACCCTCCACGGAGCAGAGAGAGGAGCGGGAGGAGGCCGGGAAAGGCCCCTGGCACCCGGCTCCGCCTGAGCCTGGCGGTGACAGCCTGGAGGACAGGGAATGGGGCTCTGGGCCTCATCCCGATGGACCCCAAGAGGCCACTGGATCCTTCTTCCTGACGCAGGTGGGTGAAGCTGGGCTATGGCCCAGCCTCTGCCGGAGGCCAGGGAGAGTCGGGGACTCTGGGGCTTGTCCAGACACACCCGGGAGGCAGCAGCTCCCTTCCTAACCGGGATCAGCCCTGCAGCCTCCAGGAGGTCACCGGGGAGGCTGATTCACGGATCGTCCTCATGCAGAGTCTGGATGCCCTTCTTGGGGCTGTGTGTGTGGGACAGGCCGGGCTGAGGACCCGGTGGGAGCCCCAGGCCGGTGCAGGAGCCCCCAGGCACAGCCAGGTCTCGTCTCCCTCTCCGATCTGCAGCGCGTTCCTGTCATGGGGTTTTGGCTTCATCTGCGGCGGGGTCGTGGCCCCCCCCCGCTCTTTCCCCGGGGGAGGG